TCTTTAATATATATAAATAAAGTTGTGACCCGTGTCCCGCCGGTCGGTGGACGTTCGCTCTACCCCGGCCGGTGGGGTGGTTGTCCGATGTCGCGGTGACCGTGGTCGGTGTTCTGTGGTCCCGGTGTAGCTCGCCGTATGCCCAGGCGTTCTTAGCTGTGCGTGCGTGCGTATGTAAGTGGGCGAGTGAGTAAGTGAGTGAGTAAGTGAGAAAGTGCGTGTAATATAATAACTGCCATTTATTTGATTATTTCCCACGATGTTCAGATCAAATAGTAGCGAGCCGTGCTTTAATTCTATTTCTATGCTGTAAACATTGCGGCGGTAGATTTAGCATCGGCATCCCGTGTTTACTTCGTGACGTATCGACGGCTTAGTTGGCGTTCTTCGGCGGAACGGGCTTCGCGAAATCTAATGGTAACAGACGCTCGGCTCGTGATGCCCGCGGTGTTAGCGGGGAGCGGGCGCGGTGTTGTGGTTTCGGCGCGTTGTTGTCTACGGATCGTGTGTTGTCCAGGCGTTTAAATATTTCGCTTCGCATCGTAGTGCATACGGCGGAATGCACCTGCTGATCGCGGTATCGCAGTACGCGGTGATCGCTGCACGTGGAGTGCCCGCGTTGGCCGAATCCCGGAACGGAGGGCACGCGGTATAGTGCTCCTTTACAGGAGGCGGCGGATTCGGTCGGGCGAGCCTGGCCAACGTGCGGCCGGCGGCGGTGTGTTCGCGATTCGCGGCGGTCAACGGATTCGATGGTACCTCCGGTGAGGTGCGGACGAACAGACGCGCGTCGTATGTTAATCCCGTGGCGCGGAATACGGAATGATACTCCGGGGCGTTCGCATGCCCCGGAGGCCCAAGGCCCGATGACAAGAGTGGAGTGGCCGAGGTCGAGAACACTCCACAGAGACGGCGAACACACCACCCCGACTCGTTCCGATCCCCAGGTCTGCCACAGGCGAGAGAGCCGGGGAGCTCCCGATGGAGACGGCGAACACACCGTCCCGAGATGGAAGTTAGGAGTTTGGTGCCCGCGACTTCCACGGGTGAGACAGCGTACGTACTACCTCGGTTTTACCGGATGGAAAGATGTCGAGTCGGCTGCGTATTCATAGCGGAGACTGCGTACGCACCGTCGCGATCCCTCGACCTGGGGATCGGGATCCGGAGTAGCTTCGATCTTACGATCCGGCTGACACCGATGGAATCGGTCCTGTTCTTGCGGCGAAGCGGTCTTTTATACCGCTTTCGATACGGTTTTTCCGACACGTGCGTGTTTGGCAACAACAATTGTTGTCAACGTGTGCACGTGTCGGACGTGTGCGCCGTGCGTAAAAATTGTTTATTTGGCGCTGAGCGCCGTTTTGCGGCTGACGGATGGTCGGTCGGCCACGGTGTTCGCTGAGGGGGATACATCGTTACAAAGTCGCTAAGAAAACCCCAGTAATTTATGCAAAAACCTAATATATTATTAGAAATATATATGTTTACCTCTATTATATCAACTAATGTGTATAAATATAATATTAAAAGAAAAATAAAAAATAAAATTTTCGTATTTGTAGTATTGTGTATATATTTTGATGGAAATGTTTTGCTGAAATACTTTCTCAATTGAATCAATTTCATCAAAAATGCAATTTTCAGTATAATTCAATGAATTTCATGATACGTGATATTTCAAACATTTTTTTATTAGATTTTAGAATTAAAGTTTTATTTTTGCTATATTTTACTGCATTATATTAAATTCAATGACGAAAATTATGATTTACTTTGAAATATTTATTATTATATTGTTACGTCCTGCCTATTTCACGGATAATGAAATTTTTTTTCCTTACTATCTCTTCGTTTTTCTTTATATTGGAAAACAGACGCATTTGGCCGAACGGCACACTGTAATCAAATTAGAAATTTAGCTGAATGAAGCCGACAAAATATGAAAAGTTGTTTGTTCGTTATAAATCATAGATCCGAAATTTGCTCACGGGTTTTTGATAACGCAGATGCGAAGTTGTTCCCCAAAACGTCTCTTTGCGAATAGTGCAAAGGAACATGCCGTGATTAGCAATCACTGCGCCGTAAAATTATAAAGATCATGCGATCCCAAGAAAACAAACAATCTCTACAACGTCCTATCTTCCTATCATAAAATGACGCAACTCCCTCACTCCCTTATCTTCATACCTAGATCACGCCACATTTCCTTTCCTTTTTCACAAAAGACGCGAAAACGCATCTATTCCCTCTCCCTTATATCATGCGTATGATTTGCCAATATTTTACGTGCAGTTTCTATTCGTTTTCCTTCCAAAGAAGGATACATTTTTACAAAACAGTTTCCTCTCCTTAATTGCAGGAGTGGTCAATTTCTGTTTCATAAATCTAAAGGATTGTCATCACCTTATACACCTTCCCCTTAAAAACTCATTGGGAAACCTCTCAATTTCATACATCCTCTTTCCACGAAAATTTATTTCATTGGTAATTGTCATCTGCCAAAAATATTCCGTATAACATTCCGATTCTTTCATCGCATGCGCTTATGTATTCTATTCTAGATTCCGTAGTCTACATTCAATCAGAAAGTCAGGTACCAGTCTCAGGGTTTCCTACATAATCAGGTTTTCTTACATCTTAGTCATTCACTTGTTACCATCACAATCATAGTTACGTTAATTCTCAAATATATGTGCGTTAATGTTTTATATTAATTAACCAACCAGAACCATGTTCTGCGTACTATTTACCACAGATCTGTGTACTATTTATCATTGATCTACCAGAATTGTAAGTCTCTACTTTTATTTTATATTCATACATGACTTTTAATAATTCCATTATTCCAATTCTATTTCACTTCTTAAAAACACACATATATAACAGCGCAGTTTTTATTTTTTTTTTGTTTTATAATATCGTTATTCCTATAATATCGATATGTTAAATATTCTTGTTATGTCAGATCCGATCTGTTGCGCAAGTCATGTCGTCGCGGATAGTATAAGGTGCCTTTCACAACGCGATGGACCGGGAGGAGTCGGTGATGCTCGATATAGAATTAATTATCTTTTGTTGAGAAAAACGAACTTGTCTTTATTACGTTATCCGCCAGATACAATATTGCTTGTGGGACCGACAGCATGTCGGTCCCCGAGAGCTGAAAGTCTGGAGTTGCACCCGCGCCGGTTTTACGTCCTTTTTTATTCTCTTCCTATATCTCAAGCAGAGGGGACGGCTTTGATGTGTCAGCGTCACTTGGATGTGGACGCTGACCATCTTGATTTCGGTATTGAATTCGCTAGAATCTGCATTTGCTAAAATGCAGAGTAGCATTTCTTCCAGGCGACGTTACGTAATTGGGGCAACGTGCAATCCTAATTTATTTATGGCATCGACACGTCTCGCGGTTATGCTTACAACATCCCTCCTCCGTTGGAGAAAGAAAACGGAGGAACGACGTTTTCACTTACAATAGTTTTCCCGTTGACAAAATTTTTCTATAATAGTTTATTTTTTAACTATTACATTATTTTTACTCGTTGGTTATGTTTCGGCGAGTTTCTCCTAATTTACAGCGATGTATTTCTATATTTTGTCTTATATCGCTGTTGCGTGCTATAACAATTGGATTATTTTTCGTAATGCTTTGTAACTTTCTTAGTACTAGTATTATAACGATGATTACAATTATAATGATTATTCCACTCGGCGCGGTTGAAATTGAGTTTGTATAATAGTGTCTTCTATTGTTAATCTATACTGCTGTCGACATTTAATTATTCCTGATTTTAAGATTTTCTCTCGGTAATTCCGTATTGTTTTCATAATGTGTCAGCATTGGTTGTGCGCTGTGCGTTGAATACAGCCAAGCGTTTTTTTCTTATCAAAAAAATAATTAGAGTTTGGTTTATTTTGACATAATTAATGTTACAAGTTTAGAGTGTTTTTCGTGCGGAAATTAAATACTTATGTTTTTCGAAAGAATTTTGACTTTCTAGATTTTAGCGTATTTCGGACAATCTATTAAATCAATCTCCTAAATTTGTTAATTCCGCGGGGTCCTGTATCGCTTTCTTTAGTGTTAGAATTCGTACTGTGTTGTTTCTGTCCTGATTTGCCGTGGTCTCTTGAGAAAACATGATAATATACTTTACTATATTTATTTGTAGTTCGGTGGTTTCAAACATCTCCTTAGTTTGTATAATAGTGTCTTCTATTGTCAATCTATACTGCTGTCGACATTTAATTATTCCTGATTTTAAGATTTTCTCTCGGTAATTCCGTATTGTTTTCATAATATGTCAGCATTGGTTGTGCGCTGTGCGTTGAATACAGCCAAGCGTTTTTTTCTTATCAAAAAAATAATTAGAGTTTGGTTTATTTTGACATAATTAATGTTACAAGTTTAGAATGTTTTTCGTGCGGTATACATTTGGATCTCGTTGGGTGAATTGGGGTGCATACGATATATCGGATTGTTGTGAAAACATGTGTATCGGTTCCTTAGTTTAATACATTCGTTTAATTCGTTTTCAGTCAATATTAAATACGTGTTACTTTCTGTATTGACCGCGATTTTTGTGTTTACGTTGTCGGTCAGTGCGAATATGTTATCGTGTACATGTATGGGAAGTTGTATTACTTGTACTATTTCGTAAACCAGGAAAGTTATCAATGGTATCTTTAAAATAGTAACTATATTTTCTTTTTTATAGTACGCGCTAATTGATATATATATATATTTGCTTATTTGTAGCCAATTACTCTACTGAAAGAGTAATTGGGAAATGAGTGCGCTCAGGTAGGTGTATTATTATTTTTTAAGATTCTTGAATATTTCTTCAGCTGGTGTTATTTGTTGTAGGAAGTTTCCTTGATTTATGATGTTTAAATAGATCATTATATCCTCTTGATCACGTATTAGGTCGGTAATCACGCACTTAAAATTGTAAAATGTTCATTAATTTCTTCCCTTTCAATAAGTTCACTTTGTTTCATAGAGAGTTTATTTATACTAGTCATCAGTAAGTCATTTTTTTTTAAGTTTCTTCAAAGGTGCTCAGATGTCCTATTGTTTTATTTAAAACTTGTAAGTAGTTTGTTACCGTATGCTTTAGTGTCTCCTGGTTAATTTCCAATAGACTCAATTGTTCGTTTATTAACTTTCATCATTCGCGTCCATTATTCCGAATAAGGTTTTTGTTATAGATCCTATTCCATCAATTATTCCTTATCGTAAATTAGCGGTGCTTTTGTATATATTATTTATATTGTCAATCGTATTTCGTATTCGTCCTAAATTTTTTTCTGTGATTTTGCGCGAGTTCACACATATATGCTATGAACGGCATATTAACATTGTTTGATGGTGATATTCTTTTATTTGGTTGTAACGGTGGTTCAGGGATTCAATATCCAGTTTAATTACCATCTTCCAAGTCGCGGCTACTTGGTGAAGTTTTCCCCATTTATCAAAGCCCTGGTGTATTGCAAAATTCTTGAAGTGTGTAGGGTTGCTTTTCCTCGAGCTCGCTTGTATATTTAACACTACTGAATATGGTCATCCTGCAACTAGATAGTGAAGGAGGAATGTGAGGTGAATTATGCTTTCGTCCGATATTTATACTTTTTTGCTGTAGCCGTCTTTTGTTCGTGTGTAATGTTCAGCTATAACTAAATTTGTTTGTGGTGGTTTCATTTTGCTTAGACTATGGTTTCACGGGTCCTCTTATCTTTCAGTGTCAGCGTTTTTCAATCATATACCACGGTGTGTTAAGGTGGTTTTAGATCGACAGTTCAGTAGCTCGCTGGCTATAGAAATGTGTTGTCCTTATTGTCCCGGTCGGAGAGAAGAAGTGGTAGTGTATTATTTTGTTGGCCTTTTGCGTGTTTCCTTTGTTATCTTTCTTTTACGTTTGTGGTTTTAGTGATTGTGTTTTTCGGCACAATTTTAGATTCGGTGTGCTTGCGGCGAGGTGGTGCCGGGGATTGTCCTTCAAGTTTTTCAGGAATTACGACTCCCAAGGGCAATCATTCTTCCAGTGATGGAGGGAAAAGGCGGGCAGCCTCGAGTCCCTCGACGTCGCTTGGGTACCGATGTTCGGGATGGTTCCGCAAGACGAGGACCGACTCGCGGCTTGTTAGACGCGGTAGCGGACGGGGTGAATGGGAGGGAGTGGTTGGAATGAATAGACGGGCTCTCGGACGGGGTCACGGACGTCCTATTGGCCCCCCTTAGAGGTAGGTGTTCGTTATTTTCTTTTTGACATTAGTTATCAATGTAGTGTTTTAGTCGATTTGCGTGAGTGGTTAGGGGTTTTCGACCTCTTTTTATTATATAGTAAACATCGGAATGTTTCTTGATTATTTCATATCCACATAGCATCGAGTTTTTTCTTATCTTCCTCGGCGTATGGTTTCATCATATAATAAGACTTTGTCGCCTAATTGGTATTGGACCCTTTTGGTTCTTTGATCATTGTATCGCTTGCTCTTTATTTTTTCTTCCTTGACGTGTTACATTGCTAGCTGATTTGCTGCGCGTAATGTTTAAGTTCCTGGGCACAATCGTCGAAAATGTATGTAGGTTTGGGTGGTAGGTATACGGCAAAAGGTAATGTTGCTTCATGTCCGTATAATAACTCGAATGGAGTATAACTTGTGTTGGTATGCGGGATAGTATTATATGTGACAATTGCGTAGGGCATCCATTCATCCCAGTCTGACTGGTCGGCATTAATGTAATGCTTTAAGTATTCCGCGAGCGTTCTATGCGAGCGTTCTAGCGCGCCATTGCTTTGTGGGTGATACGCGGTTATTTGTAATTTTTGTATTCTTAATAGTTTGCATGTGTTCTTAAACACGTTGATTAAAAGTTTGTTCCTTGATCCGTTAATATTTTATCAGGAATACTGTATTCCTAAATTACACAGGCCGACAAAACATTTTACCAGAAACCGGAATATACTATCCCGAAGGTTTTCGACTTGCTGAATTCAAATCTGGCCTCAGAAATGCTCGTTTGGCTCAGGTTTCCGAAATATTATAACCTAAAAGTGCAAAAACACGATTTTAGCCTATATTTGAAATCATGCAGCATGGAGAAAACTTTCTTTTTCAAAAAACTGTTAAAAGTATCTCAAGGTATAGGTCTCAATCTTTCAAATGCCGTTGAGTTTGCTCAAATATCTGTTTTTGTCAGCGATATATGCTATTTTAAACATTTCAAATTGCATGAATTTCACAGGCCGACAAAATTTGGCAAAAACATTTTACCAGAAATCGAAGTATACTATCCCAAAGGTTTTTAACACGCTGAATTCAAATCTGGCCTCAGAAATGCTCGTTTGGCTCAGGTTTCCGAAATATTATAACCTAAATGTTCAAAAAACGCGATTTTAGCCTATATTTGAGGTCATGCAGCATGGAGAAAACTTTCTTTTTCAACAAACTGTTCAAAGTATCTCAAAGTATAGGTCTCAATCTTTCGAATGCCGTTGAGTTTGCTCAAATATCTGTTTTTGTCAGCAATATATGCTATTTTAAATATTTCAAATTGCATAGGCTAAAATCGCGTTTTTTGCACATTTAGGTTATAATATTTCGGAAACCTGAGCCAAACGAGCATTTTTGAGGCCAGATTTAAATTCAGCGTGTTAAAAACCTTCGGGATAGTATACTCCAGTTTCTGGTAAAATGTTTTTGCGAAATTTTGTCGGCCTGTGTTATCTTCTCTACAAACTCTTTCGCGATGGTTGAGGCTACTTGATTCGGTATGGGTATCGCTTTACTAAATTTAGTTAAATTATCTTGGAACGTTAATATATATTTATTTCCATTCTTCGTTATTGTTAATGGTCTTACTACATATAAGGCGCATTTCTCAAATGGTTTGCACGGCGTATCGGTGATTACTAGAGGCATTTTAGTTTTTTGTGATAATTTGTTTCTCTGACAAAGTTCACATTTATTAATATATTTTTTTATATCGGATGACACATTTTTCCATTGGTGATTTAGCCGTATTCTGTTTATTGTCATATTTCTCCTCATTGTCTTTTTCCACTGTCTCCTCCGGCGCATCTATCTTTAAGACGAGTCGTTTTATATTTTTACTAAGCGCGTCGGCGTTCGTGTTCCCTCGTCCGGCCTTGTGTATGATTTCATAATTATATTCTTCTAACTTTAGTCGCCACCTGATTAACTATGATCCAGGGTCGGTGACATTTAATAGCCATATCAATGGTTTATGGTCGATTAATGTTTTGAATTTCGTTCCGTATACATATGGGCAAAAATGTTTCACTGCCCATATTATTACTAGCAGTTCCTTTTCAGTAGTGCTATAATTTTGTTCCACACGAGATAGTACGCGGTTAGAATAAGCTATAGGGTTGTCTTTCCCTATCGGCCCTTGTGACAAAATAGCTCCTATCGCGTAATTCGAGGCGTCGGTATAATAAATTCCTTGTTGAATTCCGGATATTTTCATACGGGAATGGTTGTCAATTTTTCTTTAATGTTGCGAGCACATGTTATTGTTCATGTCCCCATTCAAATTGTGTTTCTTGTTTTGTTAATTTTGTTAAAAGGCGTGCTATCTCAAAAAAATGTTCTATAAATCGTCGGTATTATCCTGCTAAGCCTATGAATGATTGTATGCCTTTGACCTTTCTGGGAACGGGAAACATGCACTGCTATTATTAGGTTGGTGCGTATGAAATGTCGCATTCTCTTTACATGCGAACGTTTTCCTCCCTGTTTTCGTTATACTTTTGTATTTGGCATAACCTCATTCATACTCGTATTGTCCATTGCCAGAGACTCATTTCAACAAAATAGGTTTTCTCGAAGGTCTTCCCTTTTTTATTTCTTTTGAGTTTATTACCGATATGAATTCTGCCGACATTCGCGTCATTTTCTTATATGAGTACAAACTTGGTAATAGTGCTGCAAAAGCTGCACGCAACATAAACCAAGCGTTTGGGGAGAATACGG